GTGTCTAAACATCTTAATTTTTATTTTTTTAATTTAAAAACTTTTATTTATATAATTAAAAAAACTAACTATCAACTATCACTTAAATATCACACAAGCATTAAATGGTCAAAGGCATACCCAAAAATTTAGTAGAAGAATATCATCAAGTTGACTCATTTTAAGGTTGAGGTATCATTCCATTATATGAACACTATTGAAAGAGAATGAAGAAATTGAACTATCAACAAGGATAATACGATGGACAGAGACCAACCATTTTAAGACGTGCCTTAGAATTGTTGTTTTGATTTCTTTGTACCCAATTTGTCCATTTTACCCATGTCTCTATTATATGTTGCTTTCACTTGATTAATACGATAGAAAATGAGTACGAGTCTGTTTCATTTAACTTTTTTAAATAGTTAATATCTAACTATTAATATTTTTAAATTATAAATAAAAAGTATTAATTATTTATAATATTCACTATTACATATTAATTGTATGCTAAAATAAAGAAGGGTTAAATTTAATATAGACAATTATTTTATAAATTAAATTATAAAATATTAATTTTTAAATTAAAGTGAATCCTCTGATATTAAATTCTCTTTTTCCATTCAAAAATCTTAATTTTATATTATAATATAATTCAAATTACAAAATAAATAATTCAATTTTTTCTCTATATTATTATAAATCTTAAATTTAAATTATAATAAAAGTATTTATATTAAAAAATATATATCTCAACCCTAATTCCTTTCGAAAATAAGAATGTTATAAGTATAATACCATACTAATGCACAAAATTATAGAAAAGAGAGTTGCTTCCATTAAGTTCAACAGTATTTAATTTCCCCTCCCCTTTATATAAGTTCCCGAATGCGTTCACCGCACGACAAGCTCATCTCACAAGACCAGAGGTCTCCTTCCTTCTCCTTCATACATTTCCTTCCCCTACCCTTTTAGCCCTCCCAATTTCCAAAATTCTATTGAGCCCACTGTTCTGTTACCATGGCGCCGGATATCAAGGAATGCCACCACCACCACTGCTGTGAGCGCAAGAAACTCCTTCGCAAGATCCTCACCTTCATCCTCATCGCCTCCCTCCTCATCCTCATCACCATCCTAATAATTTGGGCCATACTCCGCCCGACTAAGCCCACCTTCATCCTCCAGGACGTCACTGTCTACGTCTTCAACGCCTCCATTCCCAACCTCCTCACCACCAATTTGCAGGTCACCATCGTCTCCCGCAACCCCAACGACCAAATCGGCATCTACTACGACAAGCTCGACATTTACGCCACCTACCACGGCCAGCAAGTCACCCTCCGCACTGGAATCCCGCCGACGTTCCAGGGCTCCAACGAAGTCAATGTCTGGTCGCCGTTTATCTACGGCACCGACGTACCCATCGCTCCCTT